CAGTTTTCCACATTGTTCCCCTAGTTCTAACACTTCCTCAACTTCCAAGCAGCCCTGGGAAGGCCGGCTTCCGGTAGAGCGGCAGCGCATACAGCAGCTCCGGCTCTGGGGCTGCAGGGGCAGCACCGGAGGCCGCCCCGGAGGCCGCCCCGGAGGCCGCCCCGGAGGCTGCCGGGGGCGCCGAGGGGTCGGCCGGGTCGGCGTCACCTGCCGAGGCCAGGGGTCATCCCAGCCCTCAATGGTCTCTGTGGGAAGTATCATGGAACCATGGAGCATACACCCAAACCAGCACGTAGCCATCCCAGCTGTTTCCCTTTTCCATCGGCCCTGCTTAAAGAAAACCCTTGGCTTGCTGGCACCCAAACATCATCCCTTCGGGCAACCAAAAGTCAAAGTTTGCAGACCTCCTGGCAGAGTCACGCCATCCAAGCTTGGGTTGAACTGATATTCAAAAGTCAAGGTTTGGAGACCTGCTGGCAGAGTCACCCCATCCAAGCTTTGGACAAAAATATCTCCAAAAGTCAAGGTTTGGAGACCTGCTGGCAGAGTCACCCCATCCAAGCTTTGGTCAAAAATATCTCCAAAAGTCAAGGTTGGAGACCCGCTGGCAGAGTCACCCCATCCAAGCTTGGGTTAAACTGATATCCAAAAGTCAAGGTTTGGAGACCTGCTGGCAGAGTCACCCCATCGAAGCTTTGGTCAAAAAAATATCCAAAAGTCAAGGTTCGCAAACCCGCTGGCAACCCATCCAGGCTTTGGTTAAATTGATTTCCAAAAGTCAAGGTTTGCAGACCTGCTGACAAAATCACCCCATCCAAGCTTTGGTCAAAGTCATTTCCAAAAGTCAAGGTTTGCAGACCTGCTGGCAAAATCACCCCATCCAAGCTTTGGTCAAAGTCATTTCCAAAAGTCAAGGTTTGCAGACCTGGTGGCAGAATCACCCCATCCAAGCTTTGGTCAGGTTACTTTTGGTACAGGTTTTCTATGGGCTCAACCGCACATGAAACCAGGCGCTTGCCGCTCGGGGCAACTACTCGCATTAGGCCCTCACAACTACGAGCACGTAGCAGTCGTATATTATATCCATCATTCAGTCCACGATCACTAACAGAAACAGCAACAGTAGCAACACAGCGACCTTTGGAGGCGATATGTTTTATAAAAACTTCTGCTGTCTTGGCTGCTCAGAGGGAGATGTGCCACTCCCCCCTCGGCCAGACACCCAGCTCTCGCTGTAGCCGGCCAAGGAGGGGCAGCAAGCCATCTCCCTCGACGACATATGCCGTCTTCTTCAAATCCTGAGAGCAAAGCACGCATACACACACACATGCACACAAGCGCAGAAGCAAAGTCATTTCCAAAAGTCAAGGTTTGCAAACCTGGTGGCAGAGTCACACCATCCAGGCTTTGGTTGAAGTCATTTCCGAAAGCCAAGGTTTGAAGTCTTCCTGGCAGAGTTGTGCGATCCAAGTTTCGATTGAAATGAAAGCCAAAGAAGTGTCTTGATGCCGCTTGGAAAGTGAACTTGCACAAGGCTTTCAGTAAATTCGTCACAGAAATCCAGGTGTTGAAGGCTGCTCGGCAGGTCTTGAAGCTGCCATGCTGAGTCAATTCCTCCGATTCTTGTCAGCCCATGCAGCGAGAACTCCTCATCCTGCACCTGTTGTCCATCCAAGTACTTCCAGGCCGCCAGCAGATCCACAGGAAGGGCAGCTGGCGGCCAGTCATGGAAACAGCAACCTCGCCAGAGCACCCATCCACCAGGGAAGTTTTTTTTGGGAATGGTGTCACAATGTTGGAAACCACAAAGATGTGCATCATTAGTCAACATCCATTTTTGATGCCAGGACTAGTAGTCATCCGTTAAAGGTGCCGGGCAGGGGTCACTTTACTTTCCGGATATAAAGAGCAGTACAGTATCAGATCATGGATTTCCGCACCGTCCACTCTGAATTGAAAGCAGTTGACACTGGTCAACCCCTCAAAGTCAAAAATGTCTTGTCTGCGGCAATTGCAGCGTGCATCAACGTGCCAGATCTCCCAGGCGAAGCGATCAATGCATTGTTTGTGGGGTGCCCGGACACTCTCATAAGGTCACCCACTGCTATAGCACGTGGCTTGCAGATGTGAGCAACTGAGTTGAGCCGCATTACAACCCCTTGCAACAAGCTCTGAAGGAACGAACCTGCGTGGCGATTTTAAGCCAAATGCCTTTCTATCCAGGGCATCAGCATCCCCACATTTTTGGGTCTCAAAGTGGCTACATCTGCCACACCCAATCCTCATTAGACCCCCACTTTATCCCCAATTGGTGGAATCCACGCCATGGCGCAGAAGCGGCGCGCAACCAGTGGAGTCAAAGAAATCAGTTGAAACCACAACTAGAATGGGTTAAGGATCAAAAAAAATATTGGTATCAAAAAAAATATCCAAAAGGATCAAAAAAATATTATTGGTATACAAAAAATTACCCCTGAGAAACCTATACCCTCATCAACCAGTGAGCGCACCACTTTCCCCACAATTGCGCACCAATTTCTCTCATCGCTAACTCCGATGCTAATACCAATGCGGTCTCCGGGCTGTTACTGCACATATGTCGGTCTGTCTGCATTAATGTGTGGATGTATGCATGTACGCACGTGTGCATGTATGTCTGTATAGTATATGTCTGCATGCATGTCTTTAGTGGATGTATGCATGTCTATGCGTGAAGGCACAAACATCAAGACGCCAGCAGAAGGGTTGCAGACTCAGGATGTAGCAGTACGTGTTAAAATTGTGCACAGTTGCGCATACAGCTCAGCACACGATGTACCTCCCCCCAAAGCAGAATGAGAATACCTGTGCTCCCGTGTGCTGCTGTAGGTTGAATATGGTTGGTACTCAGGGTTTACCTATGTGCATGTATATGTGTATTTAAATATGGTACTCAAGGTATATATATGATGCACAACACGCCTACGGTGAGCATGTAGAATGTAAGTTAAATCAAGGGTGGTGTGGGGGGTAGGGGAAGGGTTAGGGTTGTGTGATGTTGTGTGCATGTCAGCATATGAATTGGAACTCTTGAATGGTCTGTACTGAAATACATTTGTCGAGTCATGTATTTACAAATGTGCAAGCTTGGATTCAAATAAAAAAGGCGGGAGGGGGGACTGGGGGAGGGCGCAGCGCCTCCCCCAAAGCAGAATGACAATACCTGTCTGTGCTCCTGTGTGCGGTGGAATATGGTACTCAGGGATTTTGTGTGTATATATATATATATATATATCTATCTATCTATCTATTTATTTATTTATATATTTATAGATTGTACCCAAGGTATACATATAATATAGATATATATAATGCACAACATGCCTGTTGCGAGCGAATGTGAGTTAAATCAAGCAGATATAGTATGATATAGTTGGAGACTCACTTTCAACAAGTGCCCAGTGTCCTGAAATACCGCTTTCAGCTTCCTTCCTTCCTTCCTTCCTTCCTTCCTTCCTTCCTTCCTTCCTTCCCTCTCCCAGAATAGTTTTTTTGGATCCCGAGAATAATTTTTTTAATCCTAATAATATGTTTTTTTGATCCTAATAATATTTTTTTGATGCGTATCCCACTAGAATCACCATGAAACTGGGATATACCATGGGATGCCCCACAAGATTCCAATTTGAATGCAAAATCTGACCAGAATCTATGGGATTTGGGGGTGCCCCATGTTCATTTCATACTGTTTTAACATGTGTTTCTATCATTTTGGGGCTGGGACCCCTGGAAACCAATTACAAAATCTTTGAACGATCATGGGAGCATTCGCTTGGCGAAAAGGTTGTTTGCCACTTCCACAAATGCATTGATATGCATTGATGGCTCCCAGTGTTCGAAAATCCGAAACAAGTTTTGATCCGATATCTGCAAGGTGAGGCCTTCGAACGATAGCTAAGTTGACTCACATAACTTGGTCAACCAGCGCTTTTGAGGGAAATGATTATAGTTAAGGGGTTCATAAACCAACTCACAACTGGGGGTCCTCAGAGAAACTATGGAAATTTACAGGGAGACCATAGAAAATGATGGGGAAACCACGCTAAACTCAGGCAAAATCGGTTGATTGAAGAAAATTGTACGAGAAATTCGGAAACCCATACGTAGGGTTTCCAAAGAAAACGGTCTCCTGCAAAGTTTCCGTTCAACCAACTCTCTGCTCCTAGATTTCGTCCAAGGTAAAATTGACCGGAATACAATCCCCCATTATTTGGGGGTAGAACACCATGTTTTAAACCTCAATGTACATGGGCTATAACTCCCCAACTGGTAGAATCATAGGTTACAGTATGAAGCCTGAAGATCTATGAGTTCAAACTTCAAGGTTCAGGGACGACAAAAAAATGCAGTGGCGCTACCATCTTAGATATCTTCACTACGTAAACCATAAGCTACCATCCCCGCAGGTTTACTCATGATTTCCTGCTCATCTCAGCATATTATATAGCTGCTGAAACTTTTATAAACTTTTGTGTGGTATATTCCCATGTTCTTTTACGCATTTACATGCAGCCCAAGTACCCTCTAGTTATTTGACATAGCAATAGAACAAATTGCCAATTTATAGATGATTTATCATGATTTACCTATGAGAAACCGTGATTTCCAGTTCGCTAGCTCCGTTCAATCACCAGAGGGTAGATTCCCATATTTTTCTTGATTATATCATATCATCCACCTCTGGTAAACATACAAAAAACTATGGACCATCACCATTTTCTAGCTGGCTAAATCAACGAACTAAATGGCAATTTTCTATGTCGCTTTTTGTATGTTTACCAGGCCGGGTGTATATCCCATTCATATCCCATGCAAAATCACTATAAAACCCATGAAAAATCACCATAGATCCCATGATACCAGGGGGTATTCTCCATCAAGAATCCCCACAATATCCCAACAAAAAAACCCATGAGATCTTTGGGACATCAAATCCTCGGATCGTGATGTGCTCGCCTGGTGTTTTGCCTTCACTGCTGGCCTGATGTGGCCAACGAAACGAGAGTCGGGATCTCTAATGACTCATTGGTGGAACATTTCGACTCATGTTCATATATTTTTTGAATACGTATAGGTATATATATATATATAGGTATATATATATATACATGTATATGCATGTATGTATACATACATATATATATATATATAGTTATACATAAATAGGTTGATTACATCCCCGTTTGTTGTGCGTTAACCCATCCTAGTTCTCATCTGTCCAGTAGCCTGGGACATGAAGCGTTGCGCTACGCGTGGAGCACCGCGAGCCACGGCTCCCAGCCTGGCTCGAATGGATGGGACTTGAATTACTAATAGGCTAATTAGTATCCATTAATACTGTGGATGGAAGAAATCCTGCACCAGTTGATAGATGGTTTATCCCACTATTTATAGGGTTTCAACCGTCCAAGGTGGTGCAGGATTTCTCCCATCAACAGTAGTAATTAATTAGCCTATTAGTAATTGATTATATATTGATTATAAGTAATGATATTATATTGGCCATATTAGTAATGATAGTAATTAGCAATTCATAGTAATTAATACTAATTATAAGTCATTAATTCATATTAATTACTATCAATTACTCATTCTAATGGATGAATAATTACTATATAATGAATACAAATTTTGGATCATCAACTAATTTTCGCCACACTTCGCCACCATGAACTTGTGATAATAAGTCCTTGGGAATATTTAGCGGATTCTCTGGGAGAATTAAGCAGCAACCATTGCGGATTTGAGTACGGTACCAAAGAATAAGTGGATTTGACCATCAAAAATGGGGCTTAAACATGGTTTACCATCTGGTTATTTAACAGTTCGCCATGGAAAATCACCACTTTTAATAGGTAAACCATCTATGTCTATGGGACATCTATACCATGGCTATGTTAAATAGCCAGAGGGTAGATCATAATTCTACCCAAATGGCTACTGTAATCCTTTCTCGATCCCCAAATCAAACAACCATGGTGGTCTTGGGGTCTATGATCTCGTCCAACTCTGGGGGTGGAATGTGGAGGCCTAAGTTCTGATGTCCATCCCCCCAAAAAAATGTATCGTGTTAGAGATACCCTCTGGCAATTTGTTACATAGCTATAGAAAATGGCCATTTATATCCATAGAAATAGTGGATTTGCCCATTGAAAATGGTGGATCTTTCCATAGTTACGTAAACGTTGACCAGAGGGTATCACATTCAACCGCCAACAGCCAGGCTCAGACAGGGATGGATATGAATGGATTATGGAATCATCGCCAATGATAGCCTCTGGTAAACTAACATAACTATGGAAAGATCCACCATTTTTAATGGGAAAATCCACTATAAATTACAATTTTCTATAGCTATGTAGAGGGGTCATCCCCATTTTTCGTGATGATTTGGGTCAATCTATCAATTGTGTGCTGGTTCAAAAAGGAAAAATTCAACCGAACCCCCGTGATCCCGCCAGCAATGTTGTGGCTTATTACTTATCAATTCTTGGGGTCAACAAACTGGGGACTGCTTGAATCTCCAGGATTATATCATCAATAATCCCAATATTGTGTCTGTTATATCCCATCAAGAATCCCATCAGTAGCAAAACATCTACCATCGCCAGTTTTTGCAGTTAACACCTAGCTTTTGTTGGCTATAATTCAACCAAAAAAAACTTAGACATAGTTGATTATTCAATAATCCACCAATGAAA